TTTCCCTTACTGACCTACCTGCCTGTGATAGTCCATCGTGTGTTTTTTAACATATCAGCTTGATATGTCATCCCTTTCCATGACATACTAGGTATGAAGAACTGTAGAAATCTTCATGCAGGATGAGAAGAAGAGTCTTGAGACCCTCTTTCTACTATGTTGTTTGGCTTGCTTCCTCTCCCCCGAAGGGTATTAATTTAAGTTACCGAAAGACCTTAATGTATTTTGTGGAAACCTCTCACATTAAAGCAGACTAAGCAACATGCTCTAAGCGGACAATGTGTTTGCATGCTGGCATTACTCGATAATTCTCATGATGGGACTGCTAGACAAAACAGCAGCTCTTGACTTAGTAGGAGCTCAGCAGGAGCCAGTTAAATCTGAATGTAAATATTTTCCTGAGGTTTCTCAGTGACTGTCATTCAGATGAGGTTAAGAAAGATGCAATCCAGCCTGGGGGATAATTCTTCAGTAGAAGGAGAAAGCTTGAACAGACTCCTTTGAGTGCCAGGCTACTTACTCTTCTGTGAAATCGTGAGGTACAGCCGGTAAAGTGCTTTCCCTAACTAAAGCCAGCGGGTGCAAGGGGGTAAGCTTGAGCATTGCTTAGGCATTAACTGTTCACAGCACAGGCTTTGCCATTTTGCCTGTTGCTTAGACTTGCGTGACAAGCTGTGAGCAAGACCCTGGGCAAAATCTTTGAGAAGGAGGTCTGTATTAGTGCCCTTGTTACTGTGCCATGTTGTAGTGGAAGTAGTCAGGTCTCAGTGCTAGTAACTTGCAGTTACCTTCAATTATGTCTTCCAGGGCCTTGCCGGGTCACTTCTGACACGGACTTTTTTTGGTTATAAGCCATTTGGGAAGGGGGTTGGGCAATTCTTGAAAAATAGCGGAGAAAGGGAAAGGTGTATATGCAATTAGTTGTGCGTGGACTAGAATGGCTTTTTATGGGAGAAGGGAAGGAGAACAAATGCATGTGTGTCATGTAGGTGAAAGTACAGGAGAGAGGTCTTTGGGATTTGTCGCTTCTCTGTGATTAACGACTATCATGTTTGCTCTCGGGCAAGAACCACGTGATGCGGATATAGACACCTAAGCACTACATATGGTTGTTACAAGATGAGGATTACTGCGGATTGTGAGGTTCAGTGTGAGGTACAGTTTCACATACAGCTCGTTGCTGCCAAGAGGGAAAGGTCTGTCTTCCCATTCTTGCCATTTACCTTGTGCCGTGCTGGTGCTTTTTGGACATCGATGCAATGGTTTGAGTTACTTAAAAGATGGAAAACTTTCCTTGTGTTGGCAGTCTTCTGTCAGTTGTAGTGGTTAAACTGATAGGCAGTGGGAACAACAGCAAGACCGCCCTGTTTTGGTGACTGAGGTCAATGGAGCTTGTGGTCTCTAATCAAAGAGACTTTATCACCTTCGAACAGGCTAATGAGCCCCCAGAGAACAGGGGAAGGAGGATTTTACCACTCCTTGAGACAAGGGGTTGTTTTACAAGGCAGTCAGGTACAGGAGGTGGTGTGAAACAGTGCAGAAACAAAACAAGTGAAACAAGACTGATGAATCCCAGGCTGTCACTTTGTCAGGACTAGACAGCAAGTCTGTTGATAAGATCAAACCAGAAGGTTACCCATTAGTATATATGGATTAATCATGACCTTTTTTTAAATTTCTGCACCTGTTTTTTCATATGTGCTTATAACTGTTTTGTCTGTAGTGATAGATCAGTTATTGCTTCCTTTGCATGTTACCCTACCCTGGCCTGAATTAAGATTAGTACGCCAGTACCTGGGCCGGAAACAAGTGGGGTGTTTTTTACTTATGGGTAAAGCAAACCTCCTTGGCTGAAGTAACTGAGAACCTCTGTAGTTTATGGTAGCAAGAAAACAAGCGTGTGTCAGCTTCAGCTGCAGAAGTCAGCTGGAGAGCAGCTATTGCAGCTCCGAGGCAGAAGTGTCTTTGAATAACCAGCAGTGACCAGGAAGCAGTAATTTAGAATGCAGTCTGAGCGCTCGTGAGCTGAAGGTTGCAGGGGATATGTCATGATAGAAGACAATGAGGCATTAGGAGACAAGTCTGGCTATAACTCTGATATATTTAACCTGATACCAGGTAGATACTATCTTCTGTCTGGACAAGACAGCCTTCTCTTCCAAAACTGCTGGGTTTGCCTTCAGCTGTCTGTGTGAATGTGACAGAGGGCCGTAGTCTGCATCAGTGAATCACCAGAAGTTTTTTCTCTGTGGTTATTGATAGGTTATTTGCTATTGAGCACGAAGCTGAATGCTGGCTGGTAGAGTCCAAACAAAATGGGCTTCCATTTTGGAATGGAACTTTGAGCAAGACACTCTAGTGCAAGATACTAATAGTGATCTGAAACCTGCTCAGAAGTGGGTGGCAACTGGCAGCTTTGAAAAATTTCACAGGTCTCTGTCAAAGTGGGAAACTGGAAAATCTCTCAAGTAATTCCTACTCAAACTGCCATTAGGTTACCTTTCTGTTTTCCTGATAATATATTTTCAGTTAAGCAGGCTAAAAAAGAAAAAAAAAGCCAAACAAAAAACCCACCCTCTAAGTATAGGTCTTCCTTCTTAAGAGATTATTTCACCAAACTTTTATCTCTGCTGCAGGAGTATGTGTCATTCTCTACTGATGGGGAAATGGCTTGCCGTGATTCTGTGTTATGAGGGAGGGGAAAAACAGTGTATGACAAGATTATCGTGAATACCTTCGTTGATAAAATGCAGTAGAACAATGAGCTGTTTGTAGCCGTTCTTAATAACTTACTATGTATTGCTTAACTTGTCGTTGGAGTGTGACTTCCCAGGGGTAATGTCTACTTTCTGTTGAGTTCTGTAAATATGAGTAATTATCAAATCAAAATAATGTTTTAATTTTATTCCTGCAAACTCCCTTCCTGTACCTGAGGGCATGAACTTCTTACGAACACAGGCTGCATAACCACGGAGTGTTTTACCAGGTCTTCTGGTATGCTTATCTGGGTAAAAAAAAATTGGGAGTTTTTTAGCTTTGAATAGCTACAAAATACTTTGTTTTCAATAGGTATGAGCAGCAAGAGAGTGAAAAAAAAAAAAAACCTGAAGTAGAAGTGTTGTGGTTTTTTAAGGACTATCTACCCTGATGATCAGTTGTTTCCATCTAATGGAAACAGTTGGTGAGAACGTGTGGGCGGAGGCACTCTGAAGGACTGCTTTTAAAGGAGTTTCAGGAGGGAGCAGTATGAAGAGATGTGGAAACAGGAAAATCGCGTTGTTTGAAAACGCAGTATAATATATTATGTAGTAGTGACCCATTTCCATTAAAGAAAATAGATTGGTAAAAGGCAGTATGTGTTTGTGGTAGGCTGCCTATGCATGCATGCAAAGAAATCCACAAAAGCGGGCTGCTACTCTGCGTGTGTCGATATTTGGCTTCGGCCTGCTTTATGCCAGGGTGCATTTATATGTGCTGAAACAGCCTGATGGAGTTCAGCAGCGTTGGGAGAGGGAAGGAAGAAGCCTATCAGCCCTCCTACGGCGATCTCTTCTGGCAGATGAGTTGGGAACCGTGAGAAAAGCATCCTTTGGAAAGGTCAGTGCAGTCACTGTACGAGGTAAAACCTGCCTGCTTAGCTGGGTGCAGAGCTCTTGTCTCGAACGTGCCAGGCTGTACCCGAGAGCACTGTGTGCTAGCATAACTCTCTCTCCCCGTTTAAAAGCTATCCTCTTCAGCACAGGGTTTTTCTTAATTTGTCACGTCAAGAATGTAGCATTGCAGAAACTACTGTCCTGTTGGTGCCTTGAAGAGGGGGAGGAAACTGGAGTGTCAGGCTTTAAATAGGGCACTGCTTTTGAGGACAGAAAAGGATAGAGCTCAGGCTGCAAGTATTTAAAACCGAGGAAGAGAGAATGTACAGGTGTTGAGGTTATCTTTGTGACTAGGGTTTCCTCCAAGCTGTGTGTTTAGCACTAGGAGATGGAGTGTTTCTTGTGTTCAGCAGAACAAGAGAAGGTCGCTCAACTGTTTTGAAATAGCAGCTCTTTCACTTCTGGTTTCTGGCATTCGCTCAGTGGGGCTGTAAACCTGTTACTGTGTGTACCTGTTCTGAGCCCGGCATGCTGAACTTTTAAAGGTTGCTAATGCAGTACCTAATAAACTGGGATCTTATGCTTAACAGATCAATAAATCTTCCTGTAAACTTTTATTTGAAGTGCCCTTCTGCTCTCCT